CGTGTTTTCATCTTGGGCGGTGTTTTGGGAAACGCGTGTTACATCTTGGGCGGTGTTTTGGGAAACGCGTTTTTACATCTTGGGCGGTGTTTTGGGAAACGCATGTTACATTGGGCGGTGTTTTTGGGGAAAAGCGTGTTTCATCTTGGGGGGTGTTTTGGGAAACGCGTGTTACATCTTGGGCGGTGTTTTGGGAAACGCGTGTTACATCTTGGGCGTGTTTTGGGAAACGCGTGTTACATCTTGGGCTTGTTTTGGGAAACGCATGTTAAATCTTGGGTGGTGTTTTGGGAAACGCGTGTTACATCTTGGGCGGTGTTTTGGGAAACGCGTGTTACATCTTGGGCGGTGTTTTGGGAAACGCATGTTACATCTTGGGCGGTGTTTTGGGAAACGCGTGTTACATCTTGGGCGGTGTTTTGGGAAACGCGTGTTACATCTTGGGCGGTGTTTTGGGAAACGCGTGTTACATCTTGGGCGGTGTTTTGGGAAACGCATGTTACATCTTGGGGGGTTGTAGGAAAGATGCATCGTTAAAAACACCCGCAAACCTAAAATTCCATCGCTGTAGGGGAAGCGGGGCCTGTGCTCTTGGCAACACCGTCTCTTTCCTTGTCCAGACATTGTAACCAGCAGACACACACACACTGTGTCCATTATAACTTCAAGACAGAGCGTGTGTGGGCCAAATGGCACCCCTATTCCCTACATAGTGCACTACGTTTGACCAGAGCCTTTTGGACCCTTTTCAAAAGCAGTGCCCTATGTAGGGAATATAGTGCCATTTAGGACTTAACAAGTGTTTGACAGAAACAGGTCACCAACCACCATCTGGGAAAAGTCCAATCTCAAGGTCTCTTGTGTTTCAGGGGCAGACTGGTCTTCTGTCATTTCGGGGAAATTACTGATGGGCTGGTCCATTTTTAGCCCAGTGGGCCTGTCTAACTAGTTGTTGTTTTTTGTTGCTACAAATTATAATAATTTAGGAGGAGGCCTCAAGAAAAAAAAGTGGGCCGATGTGGGGCCCTTGAGCAAAACAATTGGCTGGTGTGGGGGGCCTTGAGTTAAAAAATGGGCCGGTGTGGGGGGCCTTGAGGAAAAAAATGGGCCGGTGTGCTAGTTATGCCGGGGCCGATTTCTGATCCCAGCCGCCCCCTGCCTGTGTTGATATATGTTCTCTATAACAGGAACAGGAAAGAAAATAAGATCACCTGGAGAAACATCATCATGTCATCTGTTCATTTCAGTCCAGGGTCGGATTCCAAAGAAGTTAATGGGTGAGTTAATACACACCTTTTACTGAGTCATATACAGCAGTAGCTACTGTTAGGAGACATGATTTCACAACCACATGCTGAGCAGTGAAGTGCTGTGTCCCAAATGTTCCTATTGGCCCTGGTCAAAAAGGAGTGCACTATATAGGGAATAGGGTGCCATTCTCTGGTCAGAAGGAGTGCACTATATAGGGAATAGGGTGCCATTCTCTGGTCTAAAGTAGTGCACTATATAGGGAATAGGGTGCCATTCTCTGGTCTAAAGTAGTGCACTATATAGGGAATAGGGTGCCATTCTCTGGTCTAAAGTAGTGCACTATATAGGGAATAGGGTGCCATTCTCTGGTCTAAAGTAGTGCACTATATAGGGAATAGGGTGCCATTCTCTGGTCTAAAGTAGTGCACTATATAGGGAATAGGGTGCCATTCTCTGGTCTAAAGTAGTGCACTATATAGGGAATAGGGTGCCATTCTCTGGTCTAAAGTAGTGCACTATATAGGGAATAGGGTGCCATTCTCTGGTCTAAAGTAGTGCACTATATAGGGAATAGGGCTCCATTTGGGACACAGCCTAGGAGTGGTCAGTTAAGACTGCTGTAGCGTTGTGGCTGTGGTAAGTCACTCTGACATCCTCTCTGCTGATGTCAGCAGCTTCTTTCCTGGTATAAAACAACTGGTCATCCGTTATTTCTCCATAACCTCGTCCCCTACCGCATGTAGACAGAGAGGACTAGATGAATTTACACCATAACCTCTATTTGTCTAAACATGTACAGTACCAGTCAAAAGGTTGGACACACCTACTCATTCCAGGGTTTTTCTTAATTTTTTACTATTTTCTACATTGTAGAATAATAGTGAAGACATCAAAACTATGAAATAACACATATGGAATCATGTAGTAACCAAAAAATGGTTAAACAAATGAAAATATATTTTATATTTGAGATTTTTCAAAGTAGCCACCCTTTGCCTTGATGACAGCTTTGCACACTCTTGGCATTCTCTCAACCAGCTTCATGAGGTAGTCACCTGGAATGCATTTCAAGAACAGCTCAAATAAGCAAAGAGAAACGACAGTCTATCATTACACATGAAGGTCAGTCAATCCAAAGAACTTTGAACGTTTCTTCAAGTGCAGTCGCAGAAACCATCAAGCGCTATGATGAAACTGGCTCTCATGAGGACTGCCACAGGAATGGAAGACCCAGAGTTACTTCTGCTGCAGAGGATAAGTTCATTAGAGTTAACTGCACCTCAGATTGCAGCCCAAATAAATGCTTCACAGAGTTCAATTAACAGACACATTTCAACATCAACTGTTCAGAGGAGACTGCGTGAATCAGGCTTTCGTAGTCGAATTTCTGCAAAGAAACCACTACTAAAGGACACCAATAAGAAGAAGAGACCTGCTTGGGCCAAAAAACACGAGCAATGGACATTAGACCGGTGGAAATCTGTTCTTTGGTCTGATTAATCAAATAAAAATGTATTTGCCACATGCGCCGAATACAACAGGTGTAGACCTTACAGTGAAATGCTTACTTACAAGCTCTTAACCAACAATGCAGTTTTAAGAAAATAAAAAAAGTGTTAATTAAAAAATAAAAATAGCAAATAATTAAAGAGCAGCAGTAAAATAAAATAACAGTAGGGAGGCTGTATACAGGGGGTACCGGTACAGAGTCAATGTGCGGGGGCACCGGCTAGTTGAGGTAATTGAGGTAATATGTACATGTGGGTAGAGTTAAAGTGACTATGCATAGATAATAAACAGAGTAGCAGCAGCAATGCAAATAGTCTGGGTAGCCATGATTAGCTGTTCAGGAGTCTTATGGCTTGGGGGTAGAAGCTGTTCAGAATCCTTTTGGACCTAGACTTGGTGCTCCAGTACCGCTTGCCGTGCGGTAGCAGAGAGAACAGTCTATGACTAGGGTGGCTGGAGTCTTTGACAATATTTAGGGCCTTCCCCTGACACCGCCTGGTATAGAGGTCCTGGATGGCAGGAAGCTTGGCCCCAGTGATGTAATGGGCCGTACGCACTACTCTCTGTAGTGCCTTGCGGTCGGAGGCCAAGCAGTTGCCATACCAGGCGGTGATGCAACCAGTCAGGATGCTCTCGATGGTGCAGCTGTAGAACTTTTTGAGGATCTGAGGACACATGCCAAATCTTTTCAGTCTCCTGAAGGGGAATAAGCTTTGTCGTGCCCTCTTCACAACTGTCCTGGTATGTTTGGACCATGATAGTTTGTTGGTGATGTGGACACCAAGGAACTTGAAGCTCTCAACCTGTTCCACTACAGCCCCGTCGATGAGAATGGGGGCGTGCTCATCCAGAAGCAGATCGGTTGGGGCGGTTTGCGAATTGGAAATCCAGGATCCAGTTGCAGAGGGAGGTGTTTAGTCCCAGGATCCTTGGTTTAGTGATGAGCTTTGAGAGCACTATGGTGTTGAACGCTGAGCTGTAGTCAATGAACAGCATTCTCACGTAGGTGTTCCTTTTGTCCAGGTGGGAAAGAGCAGTGTGGAGTGCAATAGAGATTGCATCATCTGTGGATCTGTTTGGGTGGTATGCAAATTGGAGTGGGTCTAGCGTTTCTGGGATGATGGTGTTTATGTGAGCCATGACCAGCCTTTCAAAGCACTTCATGGCTACAGACGTGAGTGCTACGGGTCGGTAGTCATTAAGGCAGGTTACCTTAGTGTTCTTGGGCACGGGGACTATGGTGGTCTGCTTGAAACATGTTGGTATTACAGACTCAGTCAGGGACATGTTGAAAATGTCAGTGAAGACACTTGCCAGTTGGTCAGCGCATGCTCGGAGTACACATCCTGGTAATCCGTCTGGCCCTGCGGCCTTGTGAATGTTGACCTGCTTAAAATTCTTACTCACATCAGCTACAGAGAACGTGATCACATAGTCATCCGGAACAGCTGATGCTCTGTCCAAATTTGAGATTTTTGGTTCCAACCGCCGTGTCTTTGTGAGACGCAGAGTAGGTGAACAGATGATCTCCGCATGTGTGGTTCCCACCGTGAAGCATGGATTTATTTAGAAATCAAAGCACACTTAACCAGCATGGCTACCACAGCATTCTGCAGCGATACGCCATCCCATCTGGTTTGGGCTTAGTGCGACTATCATTTGTTTTTCAACAGGACAATGACCCAACACACCTCCAGGCTGTGTAAGGGCTATTTGACCAAGGAGAGTGATGGAGTGCTGCATCAGATGACCTGGCCTCCACAATCACCCGACCTCAACCCAATTGAGATGGTTTGGGATGAGTTGGACCGCAGAGTGAAAGAAAATAACCAACAAGTGCTCAGCATATGTGGGAACTCCTTCAAGACTGTCGGAAAAGCATTCCAGGTGAAGCTGGTTGAGAGAACGCCAAGAGTGTGCAAAGCTGTCATCAAGGCAAAAGGGTGGCTGCTTTGAAGAATCTCAAATATAAAATATATTTTGATTTGTTTAACACTTTTTTTTGGTTACTACATGATCCCATATGTGTTATTTCATAGTGTTGATGTCTTCACTATTATTCTACAATGTAGAAAATAGTCAAAATAAAGAAAAACCCTTGAATGAGTAGGTGTGTCCAAACTTTTGACTGGTAGTGTATATGTACATGGAAACATACCTTCCTTTTTAATTGATGTTAATCTCTCTTTCCCCATCTTTCATTCACCCCCCCCCCCCCCCCCCCCCCCCCTCTTTCTCAGTAGTGTAGAGAAGCTGGAGCAGGCTAAGGTGGAGATAGACGATGGGAAGGGTGAGAGTGCTGAACCTGGCACCATGTACCAGTAAGTGTGCTGAACCTGATGTACCAGATCATTCCACCTCAAAAAAAAGCACAAGAAGAAAGAGGAAATCATTTCTGTAGTTAGAAACGGATACAATTAGCATTCCAGAAACATTATTTTGTTGAAATATAATTTAATCTCTGAGAAATTAAACTAATTGATTGCACCCAAATTGGCCATTTATAATTTATAGGATTCATATAATCTTCAGTAAATATAACATCCAATTTGGATTATTGTTCTTCCTAATGAGGAGTTAGGCATGAGGAATCCAATACAATGGTCAAAAGCCACCCACCACACCAATCCCACCCCAAGAACCAGTATACAGTATCAGTTCTCTATGTTTGAGTAGTATAAAGATGCGGTTTGGAGTATTGCTTCTTCATCCTTTGTAATGTATTTCCTGTGAATCTGATGTTTTAAATGTAATTTTTTTTCCTGGTAATTGAAATTTGCCAATTTAAAGACGCTGAGTGGCGCAGTGGTCTAAGGCACTGCATCGCAGTGCTAACTGTGCCACTAGAGATCCTGGTTCGAATCCAGGCTCTGTCGCAGCCGGCCGCGACCGGGAGACTCATGGGCGGCGCACAATTGGCCCAGCGTCGTCCAGGGTAGGGGAGGGAATGGCCGGCAGGGATGTAGCTCAGTTGATAGAGCATGGCGTTTGCAACGCCAGGGTTGTGGGTTTGATTCCCACGGGGGGCCAGTATAAAAAAATATATATGTATTCACTAACTGTAAGTCGCTCTGGATAAGAGCGTCTGCTAAATGACTAAAATGTAATGTAAAATGTTGCATAATTTAACATGAATTAGTGTGGCAGTGCAACATTTTGACCACTAGATGCTGCTGTTCCTGATACTTTTATACATTTTGCTGGTCTCTTGTGTTTATTAAATAGATCACAACATTTTCTTTGCAACTTTGGGTAGAAAACCTTTTGTTCATGATGAAAACACAAGAGATCAGCAAAATTGATAAAATGGTGTGGTGGCAGTAGTAGGAACAGCGGCATCTAGTGGTCGAAACGTGGTACTGCCACACTAATTTATGGTATAGAATGCATGTGACTTTATGGTGAATGCAAGAGAAAATGGCACATTTCTCTAAACAGGAAAAACCCATCACCAGATTCACAGGAAATACATTAGAGGATGAAGAAGCAATACTCCAAACCGCATATTTATACTGCTCAAACATAGAGAACTGATACTGTATACTGGTTGTTGTGGTGGGATTGGTGGGGGGGGGGGGGGTCTGTGGGTGGCAATTTATTGGATTCCTCATGTCTTACTCATTGTTAGGAAGAATTATGGTCCAAATCAGATGTTCTTTATTGAAGGTTATATTAATCCTATGAATTAAAATGGCCAATTTGGGTGCTATCAGTTAGCTTAATTTCTCAGCGATCAAATTCAATTTCAACAAAATAATGTTGCAGGAATGCTAATCTCATCCGTTACTAACTACAGAAACAATTTTAGAACAATCTGAGATGGTGGGTGTCATGGCTGAAATGACCCACCAGTAAGTACTAAGGTTACAAGTGCAGCATCACACACCTCATATGTATAGAAATGTTGTTTCTGAGGAAATTGTCATAATTCGTTTTTTCTTTCGTCCTCGTTCTACAGAGATATTCGGATGAAGATCACACCTTTTGTCATGTCCTTCGGATTCCGGTAGGCCCAATTACTCTGATGATGATGATGATGATGATGGGGATGATGATTCTCTGTCTCTCTCTCTCTGTCTCTGACTCTCTGACTCTGACTCTGACTCTGATTCCAGTATGTTTGGTGTGGTGCTGATCATAGTGGATATAGTGTTGGTGATAGTGGACCTGTCTCTGATGACACGGAGCAGAGATGTGGGGGACGCTCTAGAGACGATCTCTCTCATCATCTCTCTGTTCTTCCTCACCGACGTGCTGCTACGGGTCTATGTAGAGGGGTGAGAGAGAGAGTGAACAGTATATGTGTGTTTTTGTTTGTGTGAGTGGATGAAATGAAAGAGTGAAAGTGAGACTAGGAAAGAGAAAGAGCAGGAAGGAGGGAGAGCTGTGCTGTTTATGATGAGCTGTTAAACAGGAAGTCATGTGCAGGAAATGGTTCCAGGAAGTGCCCTCTGGGAACACACTGATGAATCATCATAGAAATGACTTCAACTCTTTGAATCAGCTTTGTGGTGCCAAAAACTAAAACATGCACAGGACTGAGTTTGGGAAAGTCAGCCGGGATAGTCAGCCGGGATAGTCAGCCGGGATAGTCAGCCGGGATAGTCAGCAGGGATAGTCAGCCGGGATAGTCAGCCGGGATAGTCAGCCGGGATAGTCAGCAGGGATAGTCAGCCGGGATAGTCAGCAGGGATAGTCAGCCGGGAAAGTCAGCCGGGAAAGTCAGCAGGGATAGTCAGCAGGGATAGTCAGCCGGGATAGTCAGCCGGGATAGTCAGCCGGGATAGTCATCCGGGATAGTCAGCCGGGATAGTGTGTCTTTGTTTGTCTCTCGTCTAACTGTCTGTCTGTCTGTCTGTGTCTCGTCTCACTCAGTGGTTCCCAAACCTTTTTACTCAGGCCCCCCTTCCAGCTTTGGGGAACATCCCGCGCTCCCCCTGCCATATCTATTTCTATTTCTATGGGCACAAGCACTGTTCATGACACAATCTGTTCACACACCTCTTGTTGGTAGAGAGAACATTTTGCAGGTTTAAAGCTTATTTCCTGCTATTCTACACATTTTGTCATGGCGTGCAGAATACATTTTGCAGTTTTAAAGCACATTTTCTTGCAATTCTGTACATTTTGCCATGCCTAATGTGTATTCATGTGATATTTGAGTGACCCCCTCGCCCCCCTTACCGACCCCTCGCAGTTTGGGAAGCACTGGTCGAACTATCTGTGTGACTGTCTGACTGTCTGTGTGTTTGTCTGTCTGACTGTCTCTGTGTGACTGTCTGTGTGTCCGTCTGTGTGTCCGTCTGTGTGTCCGTCTGTGTGACTGTCTCTGTGTGTGTGTCTCTGTCTGTCTGTGTGTGTCTGTGTGTCCGTCTGTGTGTGTCTGTGTGTCCGTCTGTGTGACTGTCTGGTGTGTGTTTCAGGTTCAAGGTGTACTTCAGTTCCAGGCTGAATATCATAGATGCCTGTATAGTTGTCATCACCCTGGTTGTTACTATGATCTACACCTTCTCTGACCTGACAGGGGCCAGCCTTATACCCAGGTACGTACAGGTGTGGGTGTCACTACAGAGGCCAGCCTCACCCCAGGTACACACACACACAACACCTGACTGTATCTCTGCTTGACCCTCTCCTTTCACCCTCTTCAGTCCCGTCCCACCATCCTGTTTCCTCTGCCATGATTGTTTTTGGCCCATTCCATGTTTTGATGTATATTGATATACTGTATATTACCCTCTTTCTTGCTCTTTTCAGGGTGGTGACGTTCCTGCGTTCTCTGAGGATTATAATCCTGGTCAGGATCTTCAGATTAGCCTCTCAGAAGAAAGAACTGGAGAAGGTCACCAGGAGGATGGTGAGGTCATCTCCATGGCAACAGTGTTTGAGGTTATTTGTGGGGTTAAGTGCCTTGCTCAACGGCCTGGGCACTCCTTCCACTTTCATCCCTGGGATTTGAATCCACTTTCCATTGAAGCTTGCTTAAATGCTTAAAAATATGTACAAGCGGAGTACTGATCAGAGAAATGATATGTACAAACGGAGTACTGATCAGAGAAATGATATGTACAAACGGAGTACTGATCAGAGAAATGTGCTCTGTTTTGCATACTTTGATTTGGACTCATGCTCCGACCCTCCCGTGCTCGGAGCACGGTAGTATGTATATTGAAAAACATCCATAGTGTCAATGATCCTCATATAACCTCTGACCCCTACCCTCTGACCTCTAACCTCTCTCCTGTCAGGTGTCTGAGAACAAGCGTCGCTACCAGAAAGACGGCTTTGACCTGGACCTGACCTACGTCACAGGTTATATCTCACTCACACCTGGACTAGACCTACGTCACAGGTTATATCACACACACCTGGCTAGGACCTCGTCAAAGGTTATTTTTTTGATCTCACACCTGGACTAGACCTACGTCACAGGTTATTATCACACACCTGGACTAGACCTAGTCAGGTTATATATCAAACACAACCTGGACTAGACCTACGTCACAGGTTATACACCACCTGGATAGACCAACGTCAAAGGTTATATCACCACCGGACTAGACCTACGTCACAGGTTATCTCACACACACCTGGACTGACCTACGCCACAGGTTATATCACACACACCTGGAATAGACCTACGCCACAGGTTATATCTCACACCTGGACTAGACCTACGTCACAGGTTATATCTCACACACCTGGACTAGACCTACGTCACAGGTTATATCTCACACCTGGACTAGACCTACGTCACAGGTTATATCACACACCTGGACTAGACCTACGTCACAGGTTATATCACACACACTGGACTAGACCTACGTCACAGGTTATATCCACACACCTGGACTAGACCTACGTCACAGGTTATATCACCACACCTGGACTAGACCTACGTCACAGGTTATATCACACACACCTGGACTAGACCTACGTCACAGGTTATATCACACACCTGGACTAGACCTACGTCACAGGTTATATCACACACCTGGACTAGACCTACGTCACAGGTTATATCACACACCTGGACTAGACCTACGTCACAGGTTATATCACACACCTGGACTAGACCTACGCCACAGGTTATATCACACACACTGGACTAGACCTACGTCACAGGTTATATCACACCACACCTGGACTAGACCTACGTCACAGGTTATATCACAACACACCTGGACTAGACCTACATCACAGGTTATATCACACACAAACCTGGACTAGACCTACGTCACATGGTTATATCACACACACACCTGGACTAGACCTACGTCACAGGTTATATCACACACCTGGACTAGACCTACGTCACAGGTTATATCACACACACACCTGGACTAGACCTACGTCACAGGTTATATCACACACACCTGGACTAGACCTACGTCACAGGTTATATCACACACCTGGACTAGACCTACGTCACAGGTTATATCACACACCTGGGAACTAGACCACGCCACAGGTTATATCACACACCTGGACTAGACCTACGTCACAGGTTATATCACACACACACCTGGACTAGACTACGTCAAGGTTATATCACACACACTCGGACTAGACCTACGTCACAGGTTTATATCACACACCTGGACTAGACCTACGTCACAGGTTATATCACACACCTGGACTAGACCTACGTCACAGGTTATATCACACACCTGGACTAGACCCTACGCCACAGGTTATATCACACACACACCTGGACTAGACCTACGTCACAGGTTATATCACACACACACCTGGACTAGACCTACGCACAGGTTATATCACACACCTGGACTAGACCTACGTCACAGGTATATCACACACACCGGACTAGACCTACGTCACAGGTTATATCACACAACCTGGACTAGACCTACGCCACAGGTTATATCACACACCTGGACTAGACCTACGTCACAGGTTATATCACACACCTGGACTAGACCTACGTCACAGGTTATATCCACACACACCTGGACTAGACCTACATCACAGTTATATCACACACACCTGGACTAGACCTACGTCACAGGTTATATCCACACACCTGGACTAGACCTATGTCACAGGTATATCACACACACACTGGACTAGACCTACGTCACAGGTTATATCACACACACATGGACTAGACCTACGTCCAGGTTATATCACACACACACCTGGACTAGACCTACGTCACAGGTTATATCACACACCTGGGACTAGACCTACGTCACAGGTTATATCAACACACCTGGACTAGACCTACGTCACAGGTTATATCACACACCTGGACTAGACCTACGTCCAGGTTATATCACACACACACCTGGACTAGACCTACGTCAACAGGTTATATCACACACCTGGACTAGACCTACGTCACAGGTTATATCACACACCTGGACTAGACCTAGTCACAGGGTTATATCACACACACCTGGACTAGACCTACGTCACAGGTTATATCACACCACACCTGGACTAGACCTACGTCCACAGGTTATATCACACACACACCTGGACTAGACCTACGTCACAGGTTATATCACACACACTGGACTAGACCTACGTCACAGGTTATATCACACACACACCTGGACTAGACATACGTCACAGGTTATATCACACACACCCTGGACTAGACCTACGTCACAGGTTATATCACACACACCTGGACTAGACCTACGTCACAGGTTATATCACACACCTGGACTAGACCTACGTCACAGGTTATATCACACACACTGGACTAGACCTACGCCACAGGTTATATCACACACACACCTGGACTAGACCTACGTCACAGGTTATATCACCACACCTGGGACTAGACCTACGCCACAGGTTATATCACACACACACTGGACTAGACCTACGTCACAGGTTATATCACACACACCTGGACTAGACCTACGCCACAGGTTTATCCACACACACCTGGACTAGACCTACGCCACAGGTTATATCACACACACCTGGACATAGACCTACGTCACAGGTTATATCACCACACCGACTAGACCTACGCCACAGGTTATATCACACACCCTGGACTAGACCTACGTCACAGGTTATATCACACACCTGGACTAGACCTACGTCACAGGTTATATCACAACACCTGGACTAGACCTACGTCACAGGTTATATCACACACCTGGACTAGACCTACGTCACAGGTTATATCACACACACACCTGGACTAGACCTACGCCACAGGTTATATCACACACACCTGGACTAGACCTACGTCACAGGTTATATCACACCCACCTGGACTAGACCTACGTCACAGGTTATATACACAACACCTGGACTAGACCTACGTCACAGGTTATATCACACCACTGGACTAGACCTACGTCACAGGTATATCCACACACCTGGACTAGACCTACGTCACAGTTATATCACACACAACCTGGACTAGACCTACGTCCACAGGTTATATCACACACACCTGGACTAGACCTACGCCACAGGTTATATCACACACACACCTGGACTAGAACCTACGCCACAGGTTATATCACACACACACCTGGACTAGACCTACGTCACAGGTTATATCACACACCTGGACTAGACCTACGTCCACAGGTATATCACACACACCTGGACTAGACCTACGTCACAGGTTATATCACCACACCCTGGACTAGACCTACGTCACAGGTTATATCACACACACCTGGACTAGACCTACGTCACAGGTTATATCACACACACCTGGACTAGACCTACGTCACAGGTTATATCACACACACCTGGACTAGACCTACGTCCACAGGTTATATCCACACACCTGGACTAGACCTACGTCACAGGTTATATCACACACACCTGGACTAGACTACGTCACAGGTTATATCACACACACCTGGACTAGACCTACGTCACAGGTTATATCACACACCTGGACTAGACCTACGTCACAGGTTATATCACACACACCTGGACTAGACCTACGTCACAGGTTATATCAACCACACCTGGACTAGACCTACGTCACAGGTTTATATCACACACACCTGGACTAGACCTACGTCACAGGTTATATCACACCACACCTGGACTAGACCTACGTCACAGGTTATATCACACACCTGGACTAGACCTACGTCACAGGTTATATCACCACACACCTGGACTAGACCTACATCACAGGTTATATCACACACCTGGACTAGACCTACGCCACAGGTTATATCACACACCTGGACTAGACCTACGTCACAGGTTATATCACACACACACCTGGACTAGACCTACGTCACAGGTTATATCACACACCTGGACTAGACCTACGTCACAGGTTATATCACACACACCTGGACTAGACCTACGCCACAGGTTATATCACACACACACCTGGACTAGACCTACGTCACAGGTTATATCACACACACACCTGGACTAGACCTACGTCACAGGTTATATCACACACACACCTGGACTGACCTACCAGGTTATAATTCACCCTGGACTAGACCTACGTCACAGGTTATATCACACACCTGGACTAGACCTACGTCACAGGTTATATCACACACACCTGGACTAGACCTACGTCACAGGTTATATCACACACACACCTGGACTAGACCTACATCACAGGTTATATCACACACCTGGACTAGACCTACGCCACAGGTTATATCACACACACACCTGGACTAGACCTACGTCACAGGTTATATCACACACCTGGACTAGACCTACGTCACAGGTATTATCACACACACACCTGGACTAGACCTACGTCACAGGTTATATCACACACCTGGACTAGACCTACGTCACAGGTTATATCACACACCTGGACTAGACCTACGTCACAGGTTATATCACACACACCCTGGACTAGACCCTACGTCACAGGTTATATCACACACCTGGACTAGACCTACGTCACAGGTTATATCACACAACCTGGACTAGACCTACGTCACAGGTTATATCACACACCTGGACTAGACCTACGTCACAGGTTATATACACACACCTGGAATAGACCTACGTCACAGGTTATATCACACACCTGGACTAGACCTACGTCACAGGTTATATCACACACCTGGACTAGACCTACGTCACAGGTTATATCACACACACCTGGACTAGACCTACGTCACAGGTTATATCACACACCTGGACTAGACCTACGTCACAGGTTATATCACACACACACCTGGACTAGACCTACGTCACAGGTTATATCAACACACCTGGACTAGAACCTACGTCACAGGTTATACACACACCTGGACTAGACCTACGCCACAGGTTATATCACACACACACCTGGACTAGACCTACGTCCACAGGTTATATCACACACCTGGACTAGACCTACGTCACAGGTTATATCACACACCTGGACTAGACCTACGTCACAGGTTATATCACACACCCTGGACTAGACCTACGTCACAGGTTATATCACACTCACACCTGGACTAGACCTACGTCACAGGTTATATCACACACACCTGGACTAGACCTACGTCACAGGTTATATCCACACACCTGGACTAGACCTACGTCACAGGTTATATCACACACCTGGACTAGACCTACGTCACAGGTTATATCACACACCTGGACTAGACCTACGTCACAGGTTATATCACACACACACCTGGACTAGACCTACGTCACAGGTTATATCACACACCTGGACTAGACCTACGTCACAGGTTATATCACACACACACCTGGACTAGACCTACGTCACAGGTTATATCTCACACCTGGACTAGACCTACGTCACAGGTTATATCACACACCTGGACTAGACCTACATCACAGGTTATATCTCACACCTGGACTAGACCTACGTCACAGGTTATATCACACACCTGGACTAGACCTACGTCACAGGTTATATCACACACCTGGACTAGACCTACGTCACAGGTTATATCACACACACACCTGGACTAGACCTACGTCACAGGTTATATCACACACACACCTGGACTAGACCTACCCACAGGTTATATCTCACACACACCTGGACTAGACCTACGTCACAGGTTATATCACACACCTGGACTAGACCTACGTCACAGGTTATATCACACACCTGGACTAGACCTACGTCACAGGTTATATCACACACACACCTGGACTAGACCTACGTCACAGGTTATATCACACACCTGGACTAGACCTACGTCACAGGTTATATCACACACACTGGACTAGACCTACGTCACAGGTTATATCACACACACACCTGGACTAGACCTACGTCACAGGTTATATCACACACCTGGACTAGACCTACGCCACAGGTTATATCACACACACACCTGGACTAGACCTACGTCACAGGTTATATCACACACCTGGACTAGACCTACGTCACAGGTTATATCTCACACACACCTGGACTAGACCTACGTCACAGGTTATATCACACACACACCTGGACTAGACCTACGTCACAGGTTATATCACACACCTGGACTAGACCTACGTCACAGGTTATATCACACACCTGGACTAGACCTACGTCACAGGTGAGCTGTTTAAGTGAAAGACTGTTAGGAATGTATCATGAATGTTGATGGTATATTGCATATGAGTGGCACTTACTAGCTCTCTCTCTCTCTCTCTCTCTCTCTCTCTCTCTCTCTCTCCTCTCTCTTTCTCTCTCCTCTCTCTCTCTCTCTCTCTCTCTCTCTCTCTTCCCTCTCCTCCAGATCGTGTCATTGCCATGTCGTTCCCCTCCTCTGGGAAACAAGCCCTCTACAGAAACCCCATCAGGGTAAGAGAACACACACAGATTACACTATAGGGAATGTTCCGATATTGTCAATACGGTAATTGACTCCTAAAGGTCAGTAATATCTCTTCTCTCCCTGCTCATCTCAGGAGGTAGCTAGGTTCCTAGACAACACACACACACACACACACACACACACACACAAGGTGACCAGAGAGGGTAAAGGGTCAGATATCAGTTAGCTGTTTTAGTGTGTAGAGAATAATCACTTCTCTCTGCTCTTCTCAGGAGGTAGCTAGGTTCCTAGACACACACACACACACACACACACACACACAAGGTGACCAGAGAGGGTAAAGGGTCAGATAGCAGTTCGCTGTTTTAGTGTGTAGAGAATAATCACTTCTCTCTGCTCTTCTCAGGAGGTAGCTAGGTTCCTAGACACACACACACACACACGGTGACCAGAGAGCGTAAAGGGTCAGATATCAGTTCGCTGTTTTAGTGTGTAGAGAATAATCTATTCTCTCTGCTCTTCTCAGGAGGTGGCTAGGTTCCTAGATACCAAACATGAAGACCACTACAGAGTATACAACCTCTGCAGTAAGTACACACTGCTTCCAGTCCACTACAGAGTATACAACCTCGGCAGTAAGTACACACTGCTTTCAGTCCACTACAGAGTATACAACCTCGGCAGTAAGTACACACTGCTTCTAGTCCACTACAGAGTATACAACCTCTGCAGTAAGTACACACTGCTTCCAGTCCACTACAGAGTATACAACCTCTGCAGTAAGTACACACTGCTTCCAGTCCACTACAGAGTATACAACCTCTGCAGTAAGTACACACTGCTTCCAGTCCACTACAGAGTATACAACCTCTGCAGTAAGTACACACTGCTTCCAGTCCACTACAGAGTATACAACCTCTGCAGTAAGTACACACTGCTTTCAGTCCACTACGAAGTATATAATCCATGTCGTCCGTGTGAAACGTTCTGTTTATAATGATAAGATGTCCATGTTTATCATAATCGTTCTGATCCCAGTTCTGTGGAACGTCTGGTGATCCCTGAGGAGAGGGTTGGGAAACCCCTTCTCCTGACATGTTATTGCTGTTTTGTTGTCTCTCTTCAGGTGAGAAAGGTTATGACCCCAAGTTCTTCCACTACAGAGTAGAGCGAGTGTTTATCGACGACCACAACGTGCCTTCTCTAGAGTGAGTAGAGTACACCCTGGTACACCCAGGTTCTGTCATATGGGTGGGTGTGGGTAGGGCTGTGGTGGTCGTGAAATTTGTGTTGGCCGTTAATTGTCACACAAATCACTGTTGTACTGCGGTAATTTACCGTTAATTAGCATAAACATGTTAAGCACTCTGCCAAGTGCTGCCAGTACGCACACCGTTGAGGGGTTGTAAAAATTTTGATAATTTTAAACCGGTCCCATTTTTTTTTTTTGGGCTAATTTAGTTGTGATACAAATCTTAGATAAGAATGTCTTAGAAAATCAAAATATAGGAGGGCCATGGGCTGCATGAAAAAGTTGCAAGAAAGGCATGTGCTCTGTTCATTGCGCTTCCTGGGGAGAGAGAGAGAGAGAGAGAGAGAGAGAGAGAACATTTTGACAAGTGGCACGTGTAGCGTTGTTGTTGTCGTCCAATCGGCACTGGGCTACAGTCATAGCGCTGTAGAGCCTCCCTGTGGAAAGTTATTAGGAGATATCAAGCTAATCAATGGAAGATGGAATTAAAATGACAGAAATAAAAGTTAAATGAGGACAGGCTACAACACAAAGAGCCAACAGCAACAGGTAGAAGGGGAGAAAGCTGCTATCTACTTAATAATCTCAGTTGTTTGTAGGAAGGGGAGAAAGCTGCTATCTACTTAATAATCTCAGTTGTTTGTAGGAAGGGGAGAAAGCTGCTATCTACTTAATAATCTGTTTGTAGGAAGGGGAGAAAGCTGCTATCTACTTAATAATCTGTTTGTAGGAAGGGGAGAAAGCTGCTATCTACTTAATAATCAGTTGTTTGTAGGAAGGGGAGAAAGCTGCTATCTACTTAATAATCTGTTTGTAGGAAGGGGAGAAAGCTGCTATCTACTTAATAATCAGTTGTTTGTAGGAAGGGGAGAAAGCTGCTAGCTACTTAATAATCAGTTGTTTGTAGGAAGGGGAGAAAGCTGCTAGCTACTTAATAATCTCAGTTGTTTGTAGGAAGGGGAGAAAGCTGCTATCGACTTAATAATCTCAGTTTGTAGGAAGGGGAGAAAGCCGCTATCTACTTAAAAATCTGTTGTTTGTAGGAAGGGGAGAAAGCCGCTATCTACTTAAAAATCTGTTGTTTGTAGGAAGGGGAGAAAGCTGCTATCTACTTAATAATCTGTTTGTAGGAAGGGGAGAAAGCTGCTATCTACTTAATAATCAGTTTGTAGGAAGGGGAGAAAGCTGCCATCTACTTAATAATCTCAGTTGTTTGTAGGAAGGGGAGAAAGCTGCTATCTACTTAATAATCTCAGTTGTTTGTAGGAAGGGGAGAAAGCTGCTATCTACTTAATAATCTCAGTTGTTTGTAGGAAGGGGAGAAAGCTGCTATCTACTTAATAATCTGTTTGTAGGAAGGGGAGAAAGCTGCTATCTATTTACATTTTAGTCATTTAGCAGATGCTCTTATCCAGAGCGACTTACAGTGCATACATTATTTCATACTGGCCCCCCATGGGAATCGAACCCACAACCCGTGCTCTACCAATTGAGCTACATCCCTGCCGGCCATTCCCTCCCCTACCCTGGACGACGCTGGGCCAGTTGTGCGCCACCCCATGGGTCTCCCGGTCGCGGGGGGGGGGGGGGGGGGTCGTGTCCATAGAGGGAGTAGCGGGGGGGGGGGGGGGGGGGGTCGTGTCCATAGAGGGAGTAGCGGGGGGGGTCGTGTCCATAGGGAGAGTAGGGGGGGGGGTCGTGTCCATAGGGAGAGTAGCAGGGGGGGGGGTGGAGGGAGTAGCGGGGGGGGGGGGGGGTCGTATTTGCCATGATGCTACTGTACTGCCCGCATCTTAGTGTTTGAAGCGGGGAGAACAGATTGAAGCGGGGAGAACAGATTGAAGCGGGGAGAACAGATTGAAGCGGGGAGAACAGATTGAAGCGGGGAGAACAGATTGAAGCGGGGAGAACAGATTGAAGCGGGGAGAACAGATTGAAGCGGGGAGAACAGATTGAACAGATTGAAGCGGGGAGAACAGATTGAAGCGGGGAGACCAGATTGAAGCGGGGGAGAACAGATTTGAAGCGGGGGGGGAAACAGATTGAGAAGGGGGAGAACAGATTGAAGCGGGGGGGAACAGTTTGGAAGCGGGGAGAAACAGATTGAAGCGGGGAGAACAGATTGAAGCGGGGAGACCAGATTGAAGCGGGGAGAACAGATTGAAGCGGGGAGAACAGATTGAAGCGGGGAGAACAGATTGAAGCGGGGAGAACAGATTGAAGCGGGGAGAACAGATTGAAGCGGGGAGAACAGATTGAAGCGGGGAGACCAGATTGAAGCGGGGAGAACAGATTGAAGCGGGGGGTTTAAAGGGGGAACAGATTGAAGGGGGAAAACCAGATTAAAGCGGGGAGCCAGATTGAAGCGGGAAAACAGATGAAAGCGGGGGAACAGATGAAGGGGAAACAGATTGAAGCGGGGAGACAGATTGAAGCGGGGAGAACAGATTGAAGCGGGGAGAACAGATTGAAGCGGGGAGAACAGATTGAAGCGGGGAGACCAGGGCGGAAGTGAGTGCTACTGGTCGGTAATCATTGAGTTACTTTCCCTTTCTTGGGCACAGGGATGATGGTGGACATCTTGAAGCCGGTGGGGATAACGGCCTGAGCTAGAGAGAGATGAAAAATGTCAGAGAACACAACAGCCAGCTGGTCTGCACATGCTCTGAGGGCGCGGCTAGGGATGCCGTCTGGGCCGGCAGCCTTGCGAGGGTTAACAAGTTTGAATGACTTGCATACGTCCTCAGTGGAGACTAATGATGGGAAGTTCGGCTCTTTTCTGAGAGCCGGCTCTTTTGACTCGGCTCCCAAAGAAGAGCCGGCTCTTTCGACTCCCGAACGGCTCTTTATTTAGGATCTTTTGTAGCCTATATTTTACCTTAACTTTGAAAAAAAATCATGGTTTATGTGTTGAAAACCCTTTTGCTTTAAGTGTTTTTATGAGAGACCTTATAATGCCTAATTCTGTGCATTTATTCTGTGACAAAACCACTCTTACATTTGTTTATTTCAATTAAACTTTTTTATTGCACAAATTAACAATAAACTTCAAACAAATCCACAGAACAGAATCAAAACCAGAACCAAACTCCAGCAAACAGCATTAGTCCTCAGGGCAGGTTGGCATTCAGGAAGATCAGATGCCTCAGCTTGGATGGGCTGATAGGCCTGATACGATTTCGCCTCTCCGTGAGTATCTGCCCTGTTTTGGAGAAGATTCTCTCAGAAGGAACTGATGTGGCAACAATACATAGTCTCCCCTCCATCACCTTCACCAGGAGTGGAAAGACTGAGGCCTTGGCCTGCCACCAGCTCAGTGGGTCTTCTGCTCTCTGGATGAGGGGCTCCTCAAGGTAGCTCCTCACCTCCAGGACGGCGCAGACCTCTTTCACCAGCTCCCATTCCTCTTGGCTTAATGGCTCAATAGATGCGTTGATGAGGGCCAGGGTGGAGATGATGGCATCTTTTATTTCAAGCATTCGTTTCAACATATCAAATGTTGAGTTCCACCTGGTGGCACACTCTTGTTTGGGCCTCAGTTCAGGAATCCCCATTTGGCGCTGTGTGGACTTTAGCTTCTGTGCTGCTACTGTGCTTTTGTGGAAAAACTCCACAACAGCCTTCACCTTATCCACGGTTGTTTTGATCACCTTCAGAGCATCTCTAACCACCAGGTTTAGTGTATGCGCCAGACATGGGTGATGGGTCCACTTCAAAACTTTTATGGCTTTGGTGATGTTTGCAGCATTATCACTCACACAGCACACCACTTTGTCCTCTACTTGCCACTCTTTTGCCACTCTTAGTAGCTCCACTGCCAAGTTTTCTGCAGTGTGTCTGTCGGTGAACTCGAAGCAGTCCAGAAGGCAAGATGTCATCTTGTAATCTTCAATAAAGTGGCAAGTGACAGACATGAAAGAGCAGGTTGTTCTGGAGGTCCAGCAGTCAGTTGTCAGGCAAACTGATGGAGCTTTTGTCACCCTTTCTTGCCATAATGCACGTTCTGTGTCATATAGTTTTGGGATCATTGTTTGGGAAAGTGTTTTTCTACTGGGTAGAGTGTATGTGGGATTTAGGGCTTTGACAAAGTTTTTCATTCCTTTGTCCTCCACAATGGAAAAGGGTTGAAAATCAGAAGCTACCATTTTAGCCAACTCATCATCAATACTGTGCTGTTTGGCTGGGGTCATCAGTTTAGGTAAAAACTGACTTATTTTGCTTTGAGTTGCAGTAGGAGAGGTTATACTTGCACGCATGGGGATGGCACATGGCAGTAGACGTTACAGCAGCTGTTGTTCTGGTATGAGACACACCAGGATCAGTAGATGGTGAGCTGGCTTGCCCTCTCTCCTCTAACTGCACTGTAGGATGGACAGTTCTTGTATGTCTATGCAGGTTTGTGGTGGAACCTGCTCTTATAGTGACCTTCGTTTTGCAGTGAAGGCACTCTGCTTTCTTGTTCCCAATATCTTTAAACTGCAGCCAGATGCTGCTTCGCTTTCTAGTGTCACTCATAGTTAAACGACACGACAATGCAAGACGCACACACGCTCCTCAGTCCGCTCTGTCTCTCTCTTCACTTGCAGTGGAGTCAAGTGGTGTGTCTGCCCCGCCCCCTCTCTGTTTACACATCCTTAATTCTCACGTGAATGCCGCATGCTGGTCGCCATGCTGGCCAATCATAACAGACCTCTGTGAAAGTGAAACCTAAGCAGCGAATGGGCAAAAAACTGGGAGCCGGCTCTCACTCGATGCGAGCCGGCTCTTCTGATTCACTACAAAGAGCCGGCTCTCAGAGCCGATGCTTGTGCGCATGACCCATCACTAGTGGAGACTGAGTGTGTTGCCTCGACAGCTCCTATCATGAGAAAAAGGTGTTTAGCTCATCCGGTAGACTGGCTTTGTTTTTGTAATCGGTGATGGTTAGAAGCCCCTGCTACATACGCCTCGTATCCGA